TATAGTTCCTAGGCTTTATAAATTTAAGCGCTGTACTAGATTAGCAATTAGGTCTCAGATAAAACCTAGGATTGGGAACGCCAATTTTCATTGAAATGGCTAGAAATAGCCGTAAGTTCGATTCTAACAGTTTATTTTCTGGAACTCGCTTCTTGCTTTTGATCTTTAAAAATTAAATGCAATTTCAATCGTTATCTGCTATCTTCCTGATTACGTTTCTATCCTCGCTTCAAACTAATGATCCTGTTTTCTAATTCTTTCACACCTAATAACCGCTTGTGCCTTAGTAGATTTATGCTCTTGCTTGAGGTGATCTCGATTAAAAAAAAATTTAAAAAAGAATTGAAAAAAAATAACTCATTGAATAATAAAATGGGAAGTCAATGAGAAACAAAAGAGCAGATAGAAATTGAAGAAAAAAGGAATACAAAAGAAATCGAAAAACACTGAAAAGAAATGATTTGAAGAATATAAAAAAGAATAATTGCTCTTTCTGGATATTTTCTTACAGCGAAAAATAGTTATGACCTGACTATAAACAATTTAGCTCTATACTCTAACATTTGGCCTTTTCCTGCAAGTACTACTCTATAAGACATGAGTTCAGGAAGTGTGCAACAATGGATAATGTCGTCAAATTTCCGTCAGGTGGCTATAGAAGATGGAATGGTGAACATATTCTAAAGAATGGTTACTGATTATAGTTCTGTGATTTCTCAAGTAAGAAAATTGGAGATATTCTGCAAGAAGGAGAACACGAAGGGGTGATAGCAACAGGAAGAGGAACAGGTGTAATTGAATTGGAAGAAAGAGCAGAGGACAGAACAAAAAAGAGGAATATAAGGTAAAATGTGGAGAGGCAGAAATAGATGAAGAGGAAAAGAAATAAAGTACAGAGAAAAGAGGAAATAGACGGAGGAGTATTGAAAGATTCTGAGACCGAAGGAGAAAAAGAAATAGGGAAATTAACAGGAGGACGAGAAGCGGGAGGAATCTGAGACAGAATGGGAAAGAGAAGTAGGGGAAGTAAGGGAAGGAAGATGAGTACAGGGAGCATGATGCAGAAAAAGGAAGAGAAATGCAAGGAGTAGCAAAAGGAAGAGAAATAGAAGGAGTATAAGAGAGAAGGAGAAAGAGAAGTAGCGGAAGTAACAAAAGGAAGAAAAGGAGGAGGGGCACGAGACAGAAAGAAAAAGAGAAGTAAGAAAAATTATAGGAGTAGAGAATTGGGAGAAGTATATGACAGTAGGAGAAAAAGAAGCAGGGGCAAGAAGAGAAGAAGGCGGAGGAAGAGAATTTGGGGAAGTAACAGGAGAAAGAGAAGTAGGAGGAGTATGAGAAGTATAAAAAGAAGTGGAAGGAGGAAGTAAAGTAGAAGAAGTATGAAACAAAAGGAGAAAGCAAAGTAGGAGGAGGAAGAGAAGTGGAAGGAGTATGACACAGAAGCAGTAAGAGAATTAGGGGAAGTAACAGGAGGAAGAGATGTAGGAGGAGTATGAGACAGAAGTAGAAAAAGTTGAAGAAGTAAGAGGAGGAAGAGAGGTAGGAGGAGGTATGAGACAAAGGAGAAAGCAAAGTAGGAGGAGGAAGAGAAGTGAAAGAAGAAGGAGACAGAAGGAGAAAGAGAATTAGGAGAATAACAGGAGGAAGAGATGTAGGAGGAGTATGAGACAGAAGTAGAAAAAGTTGAAGAAGTAAGAGGAGGAAGAGAGGTAGGAGGAGTATGAGACAAAAGGAGAAAGCAAAGTAGGAGGAGGAAGAGAAGTGAAAGAAGTATGAGACAGAAGGAGAAAGAGAATTAGGGGAAGTAACAGGAGGAAGAGATGTAGGAGGAGTATGAGACAGAAGTAGAAAAAGTTGAAGAAGTAAGAGGAGGAAGAGGAGGTGGAGGAGTATGAGACAAAAGGAGAAAGCAAAGTAGGAGGAGGAAGAGAAGTGGAAGGAGTATGAGACAGAAGGAGAAAGAGAATTAGGGGAAGTAACAGGAGGAAGAGATGTAGGAGGAGTATGAGACAGAAGTAGAAAAAGTTGAAGAAGAAAGAGGAGGAAGAGAGGTAGGAGGAGTATGAGACAAAAGGAGAAAGCAAAGTAGGAGGAGGAAGAGAAGTGAAAAGAAGTATGAGACAGAAGGAGAAAGAGAATTAGGGGAAGTAACAGCAGGAAGAGATGGGGAGGAGTATGAGACAGAAGTAGAAAAAGTTGAAGAAGTAAGAGGAGGAAGAGAGGTAGGAGGTGTATGAGACAAAGGAGAAAGCAAAGTAGGAGGAGGAAGAGAAGTGGAAGGTATGAGACAGAAGGAGAAAGAGAATTAGGGAAGTAACAGGAGGAAAGGATGTAGGAGGAGTATGAGACAGAAGTAGAAAAAGTTGAAGAAGTAACAGGAGGAAGAGAGGTGGGAGGAGTATGAGACAAAAAGGAGAAAGCAAAGTAGGAGGAGGAAGAGAAGTGGAAGGAGTATGAGACAGAAGGAGAAAGAGAATTAGGGGAAGTAACAGGAGGAAGAGATGTAGGAGGAGTATGAGACAGAAGTAGAAAAGTTGAAGAAGTAAGAGAAGGAAAGAGTAGGAGGAGTTGGAAAAGGAGAAACAGGAAGAGAAAAAGAATGTGAGACAGAAGGAGGTATTGAAGCAGAAGGATGTGGGAAGTGAGACAGAAGGAAAAGAGTAACAGAGAAAAAGGAAAGCTGTAGGAAGAAGGAAGAAGTATTATGGGAAGACATGAGGAAGAGAAAAAACATGAGGGAGGAGCAATAACTGAAGGAAGAGAAGTAGAAAATTATGAGACAGATGGAGAAAGAGAAGTCGGTAAATATCAAGAGGAAGAGAATTAGGCAGAGTTTGAGACTGAAGGAAAAAGAGTCGTAGCGGAAGTAACAAGAGCGAGAGAAGTAGGAGTATGAGACAGAAGGAGAAAGAGGAGAAGTGGAAGGTGTAATATTCTGGATGAATAGCAGACAAATTAGACGAACAAGAAAAATGATGAAGAATAAAATTATAAGAAATAAAAATCTTGAATGAATTCATTGTAGAAATTCTTGATGTCAAACGAAAGCCCATATTTAATACTATAGTTTTGGAATCAACAAAGAAAGGACTGCTGGATAGGTATGTAATATCAGTCGTCCACAATTACGAGAGGCCACAGAATTGTCGATTTACAGAATGATGTTGAGGATAATATGGACTGAACTGAGAAAATGGAAACAGAAAAAGAATATTTTATATTAGAATGTGACAGTTTAAATATTTAAGACGCATAATACAAAAAAAAAAAAAAAACTGTTCGAAAATTTGAGATTCGTATAACAATGAAGGCAAGAGAGGCTAAGCTAAAATACAGAATCGGAAGGAATGTTGTTAAAAGCTTTAAAGTAGTTGAAAGCTATGATCAGTCACGTCTTCAAGGAACATAGCACCGGGAAAAAGTTCAGTGAATTACTTCTGCTGGGGTTTTCGTATCCGCCATTTTACTAGGTCAGTTTTTTTAATGTCGTATATACAGGAGTGGTCAGGTCTCGAGGTCAGAAAAAACCTAGGATCGGGAACGCCAATTTTCAATGTAGTTAAGACTGACTTATCATAATCTTCCGTCCTCTCTTTGATTCAATTTGATCTTTAAGCTAAACGGAGTAGCGGATTGTGTTACATGAAGGGATGAAGGAAAATAAATTAAAAGAATAAAAAGAAAAAAAGGTAGAAGGAAAGTAAGGAAGGAACGATATAAAAACTGAAGAAATACGGAAAGGAAGAATGAGAACGTGAAGACAAAGTAGAATGTAAAAATAAAGGAAGAAGAAAGAGGAGTAAAGAAATAGAAGGAAGGAGGTAGAATGTGAAAGAGGGAAGAGGAAATACGAGTAGAGGTGATAAAAGAGAAAGCAGCCAGACGTAGACATTCAAGGAAAGATAAATCAATGAAAGAATGAATGGAGGTGAAAAACATTAAATGAAGAAAGGAAGGAGACGAAAAATGTTGAAAAGAATGAAGAACTCAAATGAAAATGCGTAAAGGCGAAATGATAGAAAATATATACACCAAAGCAAGGAATGATAATAAGAAGTGAGAAAGAAAATATGAAGTAAAAGACGGACGGACGGACGGAAGGAAGGAAGGAAGGAAGGAAGGAAGGAAGGAAGATTGGAATTAAAATTGAAAGAATTACACAAGGAGGGAAAACAGGCTGAAATAAAATAGACGGTTTGGTAAAAATGAAAGGAGAATAAGTGAAACTATGTAAAAAAGGGATGAAAAAAAGAAAAACATGAGCTGCAAGGAAGGAAGGAAGGAAGGAAGGAAAAGAGGAGGGAGGGAAAGGAGGAAGGAAGGAAGGAAAGAGAAGGGAAAGAAGGAAGGAAAAGAGGAGGGAAGGAAAGAAGGAAAGAAAGAAAGAAGTAGATAAAGTAAGGAAGGAAGTAGAGGAAGGAAGGAAGGGAACACGGAGGAAAGAAAGAAAGAAAGAAAGAAAGAAACAAACAAAGGGGGGGAAGGGAGAAAGAAATGGAGGGAGGTAAGGAGAGAGGAAGGAAGGAATTAAGTATGCTAGGAAGGAAGTAACGTAGGAAGGAAGGGTGGAAAGAAAGAAAGTGGGATATAAAAGAATTAGACACTGAAAGAAGAAAATGAGGAAGGGACCACATCATGAAGGATAGATCAAACAAATAAAGTGACAAAGAAAAAAAGGCGGAATCAGAAAGAGAAGAAAGAAAGGACGAGAGAAAAGAGGCAGAAAGAGAAGGTAAGAAGGAAAAGAGAAAGAAAGAATGTAGAAATTGAATGACGTGTGAGAGTAAAAATGAACGGCGTAGCAGTGGAAAAGAAGAAGAAACTAGAATGTGTCGAAAGGAAGAAAGACAGGAAGAAGAAAGTGAAACAAGAAAAGAAAAGAGTATAAGGAAATAGGAAGGAAAGAAATGCAAAGAGAGACGGTGGAATGGCAGTGACAGATAGAAGAAAGTTAAAAAAGAAGAAGTAAATGAAAGAAAGAAATCCGGAAGTAAAAA